AAACCAGACGACTGCAGTACGACGAGAATCGGTCGTCGTTTTCCAGACAGATCGACCTTCCAATCTCTTCTTCATGCACTTTCTACGAAATAAACATCTGTCCAACAAAAGCGCAAAAACATACGCAGCATCATACACACACACACACATACATACACTCAAATGGAGAAGGCTTGCTGTTAAAATATACCAATTTGGACTGGATTAAGGCCTGATTGCCAACAAGTCTGAAAACGCCCGAGTTCGAACCCCGGTTAGCGAGCCAGGAAAGGCGGTCCAGAAAAAGAGATGATAAAGACAGTTTGCAATGGATGGCAAAGTGAACGTCTTCTTTTCACCTCGGTCCAGTAATAAATCAGTACAAGCCGGCGTAGAGACACGCTTAAATACACAAAAACAAACAGAATTTTGAATAGCCTCCGGTGCGGGAAATAGGAAGAACGATTAATAATTCAGTTCACAACAATTATCTACCATGATTAATGGATAATTTCACAGTAAAACCCATCTCGTTGTGGGAATACTCAACGATCACTCTTTAAATCACTTTATACGACTTTGGCTGACGAAACCTACATTTAATGGATAATAATCCATTTTTAATACTCATTAATAGGCTGAAAGGAAAATTGTCATTTGGGACTAAATAGACAGACATACAACACCGCTCGGCAGCAGATTTTGCCGTCTTATCAGCATGTGATAAAAGTAGATGAACCAAGGAGGAAGTGTAGCATGACAACAAAGTATAAGCAAACTGAGGCTTCTTTTCGAGAATGTCCAGGTCCTCTTTTTAGATCGGAATGATACAAGTTTTTGTACCTTTATGGCAGTGTCCATGTGGAGTGGCAGGCTGACTCATTTGGAAGAAAGAGATCATTTTCAGACAAAAACTGCCAGCAAAGAGTGTGGGGGCAAGAGACCGGGACTATCCGAGCACATGTTCGAGAACAGGGCGATTAATGGGCGACAAGAAGTTCACAATCAAGCGTAAGCCTCCCACTCATCTGATGGTAGAAAAATAAAACTACTAGTCCATCGTGCCCTCATGCGACCTGAGGTAATGCAGGCTTTCGTTAAAATGAACAGGAAGCTTAGAAAACTACTTAATGGGAATATAAGATTGGGCATATGAGATGTATTCACCCAATCTCGTTTGAGGTGATGAAGGACTGGTAGAAGAAGAAATGGGTGAATAAATCTCATACTACTGATTTACTAGTAGTCACGGAAACAATACTTAATTCGAAAAATTTATTAAATTCTCAATATAAGATGTATTCACACTATTTCTTTTAAGGATGAGAACAACTTTTGGGAAAGCAAGGCTATGTGAAATTAAGTATGGAAACATCAGCTCAACTCATATCATTGTGGAAAAATTCTTCTTCTCCCAGTCCCTTATCACCTTAGATAAAATAGGGTGAATACATCTCATACTATTGATTTACTGGTAGTCATGAAAACACTACTAAATTCAAAAAATAAGATTGGGGAGTCTACCCAAATAAACAAACTCGTCAACATAAATGAAGAAAGGCTAGGTTTTGAAGAATCTCTCAGTGATTTGCTGCGAATCGAGTTTTCATTTCGAAGAAAGTATTAATCGGAAGGAATGAGTAAATTGGCCTCATCGCAACCTGATGGGGATTGCAGCGGAGTGGAGTCAGAATTGTTGGATAGTGAAAACACGTCCTCGGTTTACCGTCATACGTGTGCGGGGCATTCGTAGCACAATATTGTATCAAACCATGTGTATATTGCTGTGCTATTTTGCAAAATATGGTTTCTTGCTCTGATGATGTCTGTCTCAAATGTCGGTACAGATTATAAGGTCAGCACAGATCCATCCTAGACGTAGGATGGTGAAACGTTTGTACAATCCGACAGTCTTCGCTACACTCTTTCGGCTTTCGATGACGCAGATTTACCAATTTCTTTCAACCACTTTTTCATATGTAATGGAAAAACAACTCAAAATACTCAATAGCCTGAAAAGGAGGGAAAATTTCATGAAATTGAATGTCAGCTATTTTTGGCTACTGAATTGGCTAAAGGAGACAGAAGAAAATAGAGTGGCGAGCAGAAAAAAATGTTAAGCAAAAGAAAGGGGCTTGATTTGATTTTAAGTTGATTGGGGCTTTCACATTTCATATCACTTTAAGATTGCATAAACAAAATACACAACAACACAAACCTAAACATGCGTCAAAATGTTCAGCATCAAACGCCGCTAGTTTGAACATGAAAGAAAAAAACTGTCATCACACCCCATCCTCCACATGCCTCCACTTCCCTTATCTGCATACTTCTCGTTTCATTTGAGAAGTCTGGTGGAAAGGATTCGTAAATCGGCCTCACCGGATGCTAAAGGACGGTTGTCATGGACTTTTGCCTGTTGTGTTGCGCGAAGAAGGCCTCGTCTCATCGTCCTACGACCCCGATGACTCCAGCCAAAGTGAGTAATAATAAGTAAGTAGTATCTCAGCCGGCCACCATTCCTGGTTTAGTGTTTTTGGATGATTGTTCGTGATTGTTTCGTGGGTGATGGTTTTTATTTGTCTCTATTATCCCCAAAATATGAGATGTATTCATCATAGTTCTTTTAAGCTGAACAAGGTATCCATTGACTTTCACAAAACCCTACTTTAATCTGATATATGAAATTAAATGAAAATGTAGGATCTACTTATATCTACTTAAACGAAGTACAATGAATACATCTGATCCACTGATAAACTTTAAGACCTGCATGTAAAACGAACAATGTCATCGCAAAACTTACAGAGGCACAGAGCTGGTTTTTCGCAGCCAGAGAAAGAGTGATTTTCATTTTCCTTTTCTTTTTCTAATTTCCTACCGAAATGTAAATCATAATCGAGACAAAGGTGCAAAAATGATAGACTCTCTCGATTTCTCTTCGCCAATCCCAATACGAAGTGAAGAGACAACAAAACTCTGCAGGCCTTGGACTTTGTGGTTTGGACGGAAAGAGGTGCTCTAAAGCATTTTGCACATTCAATTCGTGTCGGTGTGTAGTTTCACGCCAATGCTTATCCAACCTCAAAGTTGGCGTCAACGGTCAAGTGGACAAGTTTCAAACCTTTACGTCAGGCCAGGTATGATGTCAGCAGAACACAATTAAATGCATGAAATTCAATGGAAACGTAAGCTCTGCGCATAGCATTGTTCATAAGCTCACACGAAATATGTTTAACAAATCACATGTTATTAAATCAAGCTAAGAGAAAAAAAAGTAAATAAAACAACCACTCACGGGAGTTTCTCGCCTCTGGGCGGAATATTTACGACCACCAAGCAGTAGTCGTCAGGATTGACCGCTTGTCTTCCAGCCTCCTCGGCATGGTGGCCAAGCAATGTGAAGCCGTATCGGGACAATGTCATTCGAACAACCTTTGAGGCTGTGTCCGCCAGAGTCAAGGGCAAGACTTTGTATGGAACGTCTGGGTTGAGCGAATCTCCAAATATCTTGAAAGGGATCGGGGCTGAAATGCATGACAACAAAGCAAGTCTCATTGATACTCATTGAGCTCTGTGGACCATTTCAATGATTCAGCTGACTTCCATTTTGCGTGAAAACTGTTTGGTGAAGACATTCAAAGGTCGATCTCACCGGAAAACAACGACAGATTCCTCTTGACCAGCTGTCGATTGGCTTTACTGGAACATTGTTAAGGTTGCCAAGGATTCGCCGGAAACAGTGTCAACAAGAATGTCTGAGTAAAGCCCATCAATCAAGAGGAATTGGCCATCGTCTTCTGGTGAGATCGGCCATGGAATATCTTCACCATACACTTTGCTTCGAAATGGAAATGAGCTCAACAATAAGAAGAGATCATTTGAGACATTATCTAATGCAGTTGGGGCGTTAAGCACAAAGACATTTTATAACGTAAATAGAAAGTTGGGTAAAATAAAGTTTGTTACCAATGAATTGAAGAAAACTCGGTCTAACACTAAAACAGAACAATGCGTGATACGTACAGACGACATTCGCCACTTGTATGTATCAAAGAAGAAGACTCAAATTTGGCAGAATATAATGTACAAAATGTCAAATGTCAAAACAAAGATTGATCGTCTCTGATCCACATTTGGTCAAGAGGAATCAACTGTCGTCTTCTGGTGGAATCCGACTTCGAATTTCTTCGCAAACACTTCAAATTTGTACAATTTGGGGGAGAGCTGAAGTAGGCAATTACCGGAAGGCAGAGCTCCAATGCAGCTTAAATGAGTGCATTTGGCTCTTCGTCAAGTGCAAACGACTGAGCAGCCTTGAACCCCAGCTTCATGTGGACAAAAGGGACGGTGATGTAATTCCGTGGATCGAAAACTGCCATTCCGCTGCATGTAGACCTCACCACCAACCTCAAATTGAAAGACTGGAGCCATTGCTTTTGGACTGGCTAAACAAGCATCAACTGGCAATTTCGAAGCATATGCGAAAAGAATGTATGCTTAAGGAAAATAATTGTCTACAAATGTGAAGATCACTTCCAGTTCGAGTGAAAGTGTGGAAATTATGAGGCGACTGAAGGCTGGATCCCGCCAATTCTGGTTAAAACATGCTGACCTTTCGTGCTTCGTATGACGGACATGTTCACATCGGATGCCGACAGCTTCAATTTCATGTGAAAAGGCGGGTGGAACGGATACGTTAATTTGGCCTCACCGGATACTGAATGAGGGTAGCCGCAGAGCTGTAACTTATGGATTGCGCGAAAATGACCTCGGCTCATCGTCCGGCGACTGTGAAGGACATGGTTCGAGCCAGAAGCAGTCATTTACGAGCAACAACCAAAAGACATTGAATCGAGAAATGTGATTGGCTACTAAGCCACATTTTGCGGTTTTCATGAGGCATTCCCTTATTTATGAGCTATGTTTAGCGTATTTCGTGTAAGCTGATATGAAACTGGTAGCTTAATTTTGCCACGAGTATATCAGTAGTATGTGAAGTTTCCATTGCATTTTACACATCCTTGCTTCCCAAAGTGTATTCTTCTCATAACTGGACTGGAATGTAATTTTGACTTCGCCTAGGTATTATCAACATTCCCAGGGCAAATGTGAACATTAATAAAGGTCAGGCGTCTTCTTATATCACATTCTGTGGTGTGATTGTCGATAAGACAACTTTATATTTGCTATAGCAATCGACGACACTACTCATTTGTCATTTGTAAGTAGGGTTTTGAGACTACAAGAAAATCAAATATATGAGCTGTGTTCGCGCTATTTCGTTTAAGGAAAGCAAGGCTATCAGTAACCCTATCAATCTAAACGAAATAGGATGAATGTATTTCATATAAATTATCTACTTAAAAACGAAAAGTACAGTTTGCTTCACCAAAACTCGCACCACCAAAGTGTGATATGGGACATTTCTAGGCTTTGTTGAAATAAACTTCTACCCTGTGACAGGAGGCCCAGTGTGAATGTAGCGTTTTGATTGACACGTCGAGACTGTACGCGGCACTGTCATGCTTCGAGTCAGGCTGTGGGTGTTGATGAGACCTGGTCGAGGTGGAGACTTTGTGAAATTCACTGGAAAAATGATGCATACTCATAGCATTGTGTGATAATTTTATTACCTGTCTTTCATAAACTTATACGAAATATGATTAATATAACTCCAATATATAATTTATTTAAATGTATGAATGTTTGGTTAATTCACTTTCATGTTGATTTATGTAATTGTACGCTTTAAGTTGTGTGAATGCATATGCGCATGACAAATGCAGGATACGATACCACCACATCCAATTCTGACTAATCACAGCAGAGCGTTAATGATCCCAGGAAAGACACGACTATGATCACATAATCCCAAAGTTCTCAACCTATTCATGCACTTTATTTGTCCATTTTAGCGAATTATTGCACGAAGCAATTGGAGGACGGAAGAGATATTGCATATTCAAATACTGTAACATAGCAGCATGGTAGGGAAGGTTTAGACCGATTTGGTTTGCAACTTGGTCGTGGGGTTAAGGTGACCACGGAGAACATAACCAGTCCTGCTTCGTCTGCTCGAGTAGTCGTGACAATTTCCAACCTCAGACAGTTGATCTGGTACATTCTGAGATGCTTCGACAGCATCCTTATCGGCATCGTCGTTGAGAAGACGAAGAAACGTCGGTAAATGTGCTAAACAAAAGAATCAATTCGGAAAATTATCATGACTAGAGGACGGTACTCACTTTCACTGAAGTTACTGTGACACCCCGGCAACCAGACATACAGCTAAACTCATATTATTGTAAAAAAATTTCAACTACAAGTCTCTTACTCTCCTTAAACGAAATAGTGTGAATGCACCACGTACATATGATCTTCTGGTAGTGTTTTAAAATCTATCTATACACGGAAAATAGGTAAAACAGAAAATACAACTTTGCTTCACCGAGAATCCCACCACCGAATCTGATATGGGAAAGAATGCTCGGTCTTGCTTGAAATTCCCATCTGTCTGGTGACCCAAGGGCGCCCGTGGTAATATTGCTCAGTGGTTGATGTGTCAAAATAATACGCTGCGCTGTCGTGGTTCGATTCCCGCCGGGGCTTCTGATGAGATTAGCTCAGGCGAGATCAAAACTGAAGTCCAGTCTCCATTTCACCATTACTTACGCATAATTTAAGGGCATCCTTCAGCCTAGTCTTAAGTCTTTCTGGATCTCTAATTGTCATTTAAATGACCCTCACACTTTCTTCTGTTAAGCCATCTTTTAGAGAGAAAATGACCCATTCTCAAGATCCTGAAGCTACAAGATTGTTTGCTCATGTGCTGGACGTTATGTTGGTGGGGCATGCCGCCCTATTCGACAAAGATTGGGGGAACACAAAAATGCTTGTAAAGGAAGCTAGATCCAGTCGTCAGAAGTAGCTTGTGGGAAGCAAGGCTGTGTAAAATTCAACGGAAACGTAAGGTCTTTTTATATGATTGTGGTAAAGTTCAACTACCAGTCCCCTAATCACCATACACATAAAAGTATTATTATTTTTTGAGTGGGTTATCGAGACTAACACTACTACTAAGGACATAAAAAAGAAATGATGAAATCATTTTATATCTTGCTATATATTTCTGAATTTTAATTTATTTCCAACTATATTAAGCCTGTAAGGAAGAGATAGTTTTCCTCTTGACTTGGTGCCAAATTGAAGTTTTAGCACGAATTAGACTCAGATTTGGCGATGCTTTCCGAGAAGCAAGACAGCAAAAAGCACAACCGAAGGAGGATACCTCATGGTTGTGGTAACATCGAACGACAACAGAGCAGGGAAACTCAGCTGTTATCTTGTAATGAAGTCGACCTAATAAGCTCCTCATGAGACACTTTTTTGTGCGAATGCAAAACCACCAAAAGAAGCAATCCGACAACAGGAAAATGGTAACCAGTCAGACATGAGTGGCGTCGGAATGTGAATCACGAGCACCAGTACCACTTCACTCGGACATCACTACAGACCGTCCTTCAATCATTCCTCTGCCACAAGAATGCTCCAAAGGTACTTTATTGCGCTGCCCATTTTCACGATTTAACAATAATCGCCATCGT